CGGCGTGGGTCAGGCGCGCACCGGCCGCCTCCGGGAGCGGCCGTCACGTCGAGGAGGGGGGCTGTCGGCGGCTCGAGCGGCGAGGCGTGCCACTCTGCTTCGCCGCCGACAGCCCCTCTTCCGAGCCGGCGCGTGGCGACGAGCCGCGGCCAGTGTCGCTGGTTCCTTTGGCGGCGCAGCGTTTATCCCCCCCACCCGCGCCCGCCCGCCCGACCGCCCGCCCGCCCTCAGGCCTTGCCCCTTCGCAGGCGCGGGAGCGCTCGCCGGCGAGCACCTCCTACCTCTCCTCGCCCGGCTGCTCCCTTGCCCCGTCGCCCGCCGCGCCCTCGCCCGGCCTCAAGAGCTTGGCGGCCTTTGTCCGCCAGCTCAAGGCGTGGGACGAGGCGTGCGCCGACGGCCGCTCGTCGTGCTGGTTCGAGACGGAGGGCGACCTCCCGCGGCTGGCCGGGGAGGCGCTGCTGGCCGAGGCGGCCGCGACGGGCGCGAGGCGGATCGCCTTTGACGCCGTCTCGGCGCGTCTCGAGGCGACCGCGGCGCCGCCGCCGCCTCTCGGCACCGCTTTGGCCGCGTGGCCCACGGGATGGGGCATCGAGGAGGGCAACTTCTGCGGGCTGGCGCACTGGGCTGTGGAGGTGTGGCACGCGGCCGGGTCGGTCGACGCGAGCCGGTGGCAGGTCGAGGCTGACGGAGGGCGCCTCTTCTTTGTGCGGGTCGCGGAAAAGGCCGCATAATCGCGCTCTCCGCCGAGGCCCGCCTCGGCGACGGCGCTCGCCGCGTAGCAGCAGCAGTAGCAGCAGCAGCAGCAGCACGTGATTCTTGACACATGATTACACTACACAGTCCTCCCTTCGGTTGTCGTTTCGACCCTGTTTTTTTCTTCTATCGCAGCGCACTCGCATCTGTGAGCCTAGCGCAGCGCGAACTCGCCGTCTGAGCCTAGCGCAGCGCGAACTCGCTCTGAGCCTAGCGCAGCGCCTCGGAAAACACCATTTTGGCTCGCCAACAAGCCCTCCGCGCCCCCACACCGTTAGGATAATACATTTTTCCTTTCTTTTTTCGGCCCTGTGGGCACCCTACTCATGGACGACCAGGCCCTCGAAGTACACGTTCGCGCACCCGTAGCTCAGCGTCATTTGGGCGGACGTGTAGGCTCCGACGGTCGCAGACCCTGAGCAGCTGGAGGTCGCCTCCTGCGGTCCAGAGCCGTAGATGGCGAGCCGCGGCTCGTTACGGCCGACAAAGCTTGGCTGTGACTCGTCTGTCTCGTCCGGGTCCACCTCGACGAAGCAGACGCACGTATTCTCCTCGATCCTCGCGATGGCCGCCTCGACGACGCCACGGAAGAGCGAGCCGGGAGCCCACCCGCGGCTCCCGCTCTGCTTTGCAAAGCGCCAACGGACCAGCTGGTCCGGCCACTGCCTGGCGCGCTTGGTGATGCCGAGCCTCCTGGAGCCGCCTTCCAGATGTTCATGCTGTTCATGCACATGGATCACAGCCTTGCCGTCAGCGGCGACCGCGGCGGCAGTCGCCTCTGGGCACCTGTTGCCACATGGCGGCTCGCCGACGGGACCCGACCGGTTCCACCAGCCGCCACCTTGCCTCCATACGCACACACTCTCGCACGAACTGCTCTCGCAAGCTGCCGACGTTGGCGCGGCAACCGCACAGATGAGAATCTCGGTGCACCCCGGCGCATCGGAGATAGCCCGCTCGCAGGAGGTAACGCCGGACGCTCGGTCGGTGACGCACTGGTCGAGGCGAAGTCCGAGGACGCTGGTAATGAACAGGAGGAGGTAGACGGATGCTCGACCATGCATCGTGCAGACTGAGGAAGGGCTCGGCGGCAGAGAAGCGGCGGTCGAGGGTTGAGGCGTGTCATGTACGACCAGCTTGCGTTTATTTTTGCTTGGCCGGGTATCATGCCGGGGTAGGTAGGGTAGGGTCTGGTCGGTTTTTCCCTCTCTCACGCCGGAATTTTCACAGCAGCAATCGTCGTCAGTACTGCTACGCATATGCACGGAGGCCCATATGCATACGCATCACATTACGCCCTCTCGGGAATACGTAAACTCGGTGCGTGTACGTCACTTGCCAGTCCAAATGCGTCGCATTACGCAGCCCGTCGAACGCCTCCCCCTTCAAAAATAAATAGAAAACGTCAATACATACACGTAATCATCGCGTGCGTGACGGTGCGATGGCCCTGTGGTTGCCTCATACGTACCACGTGTCACGTATACGGATTATGGATCTCCGCCGGTGCGCCGCGGCCCACGGAGGGCGGGGCGTCTTCGACGTATCACGTATCCGCATTACGCATACGTCCTTTTCACCGCAAAGCTTTGCCCCGGGGACGGTGCAATGGCCCGCGCGGCGGGTGCCTTACGTACCACGTCTCACGTTTCCGGATTATGTATCTCGCCCCGCGCGCCCCCGAGCCCCCCCCCCCCCTACGTATCACGCATACGCATTACGCATTACGTATTTTTCATCCTTCGTAGTCCAAGGCAATGTTACAAAGCATAAATTGTACAAAGACGATGGCAGTGAAGTGCCAAGAGAGACACCTTCTCCGCCGACAGTCAAACAGTTCCCTCGAGGTCTCACAGGACCCACACACAGCAGATTGCAGAGGCGCGCGGGCCTCGCCCCGACCCCTCGCCCCTTCGCGTCGGCGACGGGAGAGGAAAGGAGAGGCGGCCGAGCAGGCGAGGCCCGCAGTCATATCCCCTCACACACACAAAGATGGCTCGCACGACGCTGACTAGAGTCTAGGCCCGAGGAGGACCTTTGCAGCTGTCGCGCGTGCTGGGGGAGTGGCGCTGCGTGGAGGCACGGCGGGGCGGCGCGCCGACGAATGCTCCACACACTTCAGTCCGCTCACGCCGATGGGCGGCGGAAGAGCATGTTGGCAAATGCTCCGATGCCGGAGGGCTGATTGCCGTTCCCCGCCTATTAAGGAATAAAACGGATCGGAGCTAGTGGTGCTAGCCAACTTATGGCAGCCCGAGCGGCAGCGCCAGTGCGCGCACATAAAGGGGGGTGGGTGGGGGGTTAGGGGGTGGCTGTCGAGGGCTATGCCCGAGTCTGTTGTTACCAGCGCACATACAACCCTAGCCAACTTATGGCAGCCCGAGCGGCAGCGCCAGTGCGCGCACATAAAGGGGGGGGGGTGGGGGGTCAGGGGGTGGCTGTCGAGGGCTATGCCCGAGTCTGTTGTTACCAGCGCACATACAACCCTAGCCAACTTATGGCAGCCCGAGCGGCAGCGCCAGTGCGCGCACATAAGGGGGGGGGGGGAGGGGGGTTAAGGGGTGGCTGTCGAGGGCTATGCCCGAGTCTGTTGTTACCAGCGCACATACAACCCTAGCCAACTTATGGCAGCCCGAGCGGCAGCGCCAGTGCGCGCACATAAAGGGGGGTGGGTGGGGGGTTAGGGGGTGGCTGTCGAGGGCTATGCCCGAGTCTGTTGTTACCAGCGCACATACAACCCCAGCCAACTTATGGCAGCCCGAGCGGCAGCGCCAGTGCGCGCACATAAAGGGGGTTGGGGGGGGATGCGTAATACGTATGCGTAATACGTGGTGCGTAAGCCCTCTCCGACAACTTGGGCGTGCAAATGCGTAATACGTATGCGTAATGCGTGAGGCGTAACCCCCGTCGGCCGCCACTTCTCACTCGAATCCGGAATGCGTGTGCGTAGTACGTGGTGCGTAGGCCCTCTCCGACACCTTGGGCGTGCGAATGCGTAAAACGTATGCGTAATACGTGAGGCGTAACCCCCGTCAGCCGCCACTTCTCACTCGAATCCGGAATGCGTGTGCGTAGTACGTGGTGCGTAGGCCCTCTCCGACAGCTTGGGCGTGCGAATGCGTAAAACGTATGCGTAATACGTGAGGCGTAACCCCCGTCAGCCACCACTTCTCACTCGAATCCGGAATGCGTGTGCGTAGTACGTGGTGCGTAGGCCCTCTCCGACACCTTGGGCGTGCGAATGCATCAAGCGTATGCGTAATGCGTGAGGCGTAACCCCCGTCGGCCACCACTTCTCACTCGAATCCGGAATGCGTGTGCGTAGTACGTGGTGCGTAGGCCCTCTCCGACACCTTGGGCGTGCGAATGCATCAAGCGTATGCGTAATGCGTGAGGCGTAACCCCCGCCGGCCGCCACTTCTCACTCGAATCCGGAATGCGTGTGCGTAGTACGTGGTGCGTAGGCCCTCTCCGACACCTTGGGCGTGCGAATGCATCAAGCGTATGCGTAATGCGTGAGGCGTAACCCCCGTCGGCCACCACTTCTCACTCGAATCCGGAATGCGTGTGCGTAGTACGTGGGGCGTAGCGCGCCTTGAGAGGCACACCCCGATCGGCCGAAGGTGGATGCAGAAGACAGATTCGTAATACGCAAGACATTTGTAGCTCCCTCAGGCGCCACTTGGCTCGGGCACGACACCGAAATACGCGACGTCTGGCCGACGCACTATGGATCGCGGGCGCGTATTTACATAACATGGCCGATCTGTGCATTCTGGGCGATTACATATGCGTAGCAGTACTGACGACCTCCCCACAGCAGAAAAAGAATTTTTCCGCGCAAATCACGATGTCAACCCTCCCCAAGTCGTTGATCTGGTGCTTGTAGGGCTTGAGAGTGGCCTGCCATGTCACAGGAAGGACTGTGGTTGCAGGATAGTACCACCAGCCATCACTTTAGTTGGTATAGTACCCCACCTTCACCCATCGAGTGATTTCTTTTTTAGTTTCCCATAAGTAAGGTAGGTAGGTAGGTAGGTAGGTAGGGGCAGGGCAGGGGCCGGTCAGGTTTTTGCAGAATTTCAGCATGATACCCGGCCAAGCAAAAATAAAGAGAAGAGACGCTGCCTGGTAATTTCTCTTTCCCATTGCAGTCGATTGCAGTCGATGTGTTTCTCTTTTTTTATAAATGAACTCGGGGGCACGGGACGCGGCACAAACGGGGCACAAACGCCAGGCGAGAAAGACCAGGAGGCAGGTGCTGGCGGTGTTTCTCTTTCCCACGTTGAGTAGCCGCTCGTCGACACCGCAGCAGCCCTGCCGGCGGCGTCCCGGCGTTCCTCCACCCATGTACGGCGTCAACGATGCCGCCGCCGCCGCCGCCTCGATCACCCACGCGGAGCCGGTCCCGGCGACCTGCATCGGCGCCGTCGTCGGCAGCAAAGGCAGCGGCTTGCGGCACCTGCGCGAGACGAGCGGCTGCGCGGTCGAAGTGCCGCGCGAGGAGGACGCGTACGGCAATCGCCACGTCAAACTGACCGGCGCGCCCGACCGCGTGCAGCTCGGCGTCGCTCTGCTGCAGGAGACACCCGGCCCGCCACCGCTCCAGCGCACCCTCCCCGCCTCGGCCTCGCCAAGCTTCGCCTGCTCCACCGCCTCCGCCCACCTGCGCACTCATCTCGCCACCGCCCCGCCACCGGCCCACCCGGGCCTCGCCGCCCACTCCGCCCTCAGGACATGATCCTCCAGATCTCGAGCGGCTCGTACCGCGGTCCGACGCCGATGCCGATGCCGCTGCCGCCGCCGCCCAACGCGGCAGGCAAGCCGCGTCGCTCGACGCTCTCCTCTGCGCACGCGGCGGTGAAGCGGGCCACCTCACACGCCTCCCCGCCGCGAGCAGGCAAGCGGAAGCTCGACGCGCTCGCCCCCTTCCAGCCCCCCCACCACACCGGCCTGCTCCCGCCGGCGCCGGCGCACGCCGCGTCCCTCGCGCCACCGTACGGAGGGGCCGGCGCCTTCGGGGTGGCTGCGTCGCCGTTCCCCGCGCTCTCGCTGCCGCACCTCGCGACGGCTCTGCCTCCGGCGCGGCTGCCGCGCGAGCTGCACCGTCCGAAGAGAGGCGGATCAGAGCTCGCCCGCGCGAGATAGGCGCAGCAGAGTCGCGCCGAGTCTGCCACCGCCACCAAGTCCCTCTGTCCCACGGGTCGAGGCGTGGAGTAGGTGTCGCAGCTGCTGCCCGCAAAGTCCGCCACCGCGGCCATCCGCGTGCTGGTCGACAGCTCCAAGGCCGCATCCGCCCTCCCGCCCTCCGGCCGAGACGATCCAGCGGGCAGCCCTTCACGGCGCGCAACTGTGAACAGGTGACCTCCATCGTGGAGAGAGGCGGCGCCGGGCTGAAGCAACTCCGCGAGTCGTCAGGCGACACTCTCCCCTCGCCGACCCTGGACCCCCTTTCCGAGCCCCCACC